ATATATATATATATATATATATATATATATATATATATATATATATATATATATATATATATATATATATATATATATATATATATATATATATATATATATATATATATATGTGTGTGTGTGTGTGTGTGTGTGTGTGTGTGTGTGTGTGTGTGTGTGTGTGTGTGTGTGTTGTTGTGTGTGTGTTGTGTACCTGTTTCATTTTCTATATTGTATTGTGCATTTTATCGTAGAAATTCAATGATAATCAAAGGAGTTTGCAACAATAGATCTTTGAATCTGCAAAATGCATTACTGACAAAATATAAGTTAAATTGTTTAAATTAAGTAATCAAAGAAATTAAGGTAATATAGACAAACTAATTAATAGACAGAGAGATAATGAATAGATGTGTAAATAAATAGATAAATAAATAAATAAATGAACAATAAGTAATAAACAAATAAGTAGTCAAGAAAAGTGAGCGAAATAAACAATACACAAAGAGAGAAAAGAACGAAAGAGAGAATGCCCCTCCTCCCCCCCCAAAAAAAAAATCGTCCGGATTTATAACAACACAGGCGATTTTCGACCATTCAGACCCACTTGAACATATTATCTTCGCCAAAAGCAGATGAGTTTCCGCCATAAGCACACCCAGCTCCTTCTTGCACACGCTGCCCTGATGAAAGGTAAACATCTGACTCCCAAGCCAAGCCAAGGGAGGAGGAGAGGAAGAGAGGGGGAGGGGGAAGAGGAGGAAAAGAGAGGGAGGAGGAGTAAAAGAAGGGATTAAGAGATGAAGAAGGGGGAGGAAAGGAGGGGAGGAAAAGAGGAGGAGGAAGAGGAGGGGGAGGAAGAGAGGACGAGGGGATGAAGAGGGGAGGAGGAATAAAAAAGGGAATTAGAGATGAAGGAGAAGAGTAGAAGAAGGGAGGAGGCAAGAGGGGAGGAGTGGAGGAAGGAGAGAGTGAGAGAGGGAAAGAGGGGCGAGGAGAAGAGAGAGAGAGAGAATGAGAGAGGGGGGAGAAGAGAAGAAGAGAGAGAAAGGAAAGAATTGGAGGAGGAAGAGAAGGAGAGAGTGAGAGTGGGGGTAGAGGAGAAGAGAGAGAGAGGAGAGGAGAGTAAAAAGAGCAGGAGGAGACACAGGAGGAAGAAGGAGAAAGGCGTGGGGAAGAAGAAAATAGAGGAGGTTGAAGAGGAGGAGGAGGAGAAGAAAGAAGAGAGGGAGAATGAGAGGGGAGGGAGAGATACAGGGGGAAAGGACAGAAGAGGAGGAGACATATGAAGAAGGAGAAAGTGGTGGGATGGATAAGGTAGAGGAGGAGGAAAATTGGGAGAGAAAAGGGGTAGAGGGAGCCAAATAGAAAAAAAGAGAGAGAGGGAGAGAGGCAGAGGAAGGAGGGAAAGTGAGAGAGAGAAAGAAAGGCGAAAGAGAAAAAAAAGGGGAGGAGGTAGGGAAAGGAGAAGATAGAGGAAGAGAAGAGGGGAGGTGACAGAAGAGGGGGGAGAGAAAGGGGAGGATTGGAGGAAAAGAGGCCGGTGAGAAGACAAAGGTTGATGAAAGGGGAAGACTAGGAAAACAGAAACAAAGGAAGAGGAAGAAAGAGAGGGAGGGAGTAGAGAGGGTGGAGAGAGAGAGAGAGACAGAGGATAGAAAGAGGGAATAAGGGAAAAGAAAAGGGAAGAGGAGTAAGTGTGAGAGGATGTAGGGGAGAATATGAAAGGAAGAAGGAAGAGAAAGGGAGGAAGGAGAGTGGGAGAGCGTAAGGAGAAAAAAGCGAGAGGAGAATGAATTGAAGAATAAGAGAGAGGGAAGAAAGAAGACGGAGAGATGATGCTGGAGGGAGAGAGGGAGGGAAAGAGAGATAGGAAGACAGACAAGAGGAAGAATAAAAAAGGGGAAGAAGAGAAAAGGAAGCGGAGGAAGGAAGGAGAGCAATGAAAGGAAGGGACTGAAGGGGATAGAGGAAGAGGGGGAGGATAGAGCATCTCATTTCACTCTGTTCATTACTCCTTCGTTTTTTTTACCACTTTTCTTATTCCTCCTCTGTTTACTTACCCTCCATTTCTCCCCATCCATCACCCCTTCCTTATATTCCTTCTCTCTTCCCTCTCCTCGGCCCTATCCCCCCTCCTTAATCTCCTCCTCATCCATTTTAGCCTCCTTTCCCTCCAACCTCATCCTTCACCTCCTTCCGCCTTCTGTAGCAGGATATAAGCGTCCCGGCTAGGATTAGTTCCTTCGGGTCGCGTCCTGAGGATCCGGGAGAGCCGAGGGCGAAAGGATTTGCAACCCGGGCGCCAGGATTGTTTCCTTAACTCGTTCGGGGATTGTGAAGGATCTCGAGAGGCGGGGTGGGAGGAGGGGGGGTGAGGACGGGGGGGGGGGGAGGGGAGGGGGAGAGGATGGTGAGGAGCAGGAGGGGGAAGGGACGAGGGAGGGGATGGGAGGGGAGGAGGAGGAACGGGGCGGGGTGGGGGTAGGGGGGGGGTAAGGGCGGTTGAAGATCCTTGGCGGAGGGGACGGGTGGGAGGGTCGGACGGGGCACCAAGGATGGGGTTAGAGGTTAGTGGGTTAAAAAGGGGGGGGGGGAGTTACTGGTTACACATTCAGATGTGGAAATTTGGGGAATATCCCATATATATATATATATATATATATATATATATATATATATATATATATATATATATATATATATATATGTGTGTGTGTGTGTGTATGTATATTATATTATATATATATATATATATATATATATATATATATATATATATATCCCCGCGCGCTTCTATTTTTTTAGGGGGGGGGGAGTGGCACCGCGAACGGAATATTTGCTTGCGCGCAGTTCCCCCCGTTTGCGCCTGGCTCGTTCGGTAATTTGCGAACAACATGAGGCACCTAAAAATTGATTTGGTTATCATTTGAAAAAATTAAAAAAAAGTAAAGGTTTACCTTCACTTTACATACAAGTGCCATAAAGTTTAACCTTACGAATGTTGTCGCTACTAAGAGAGATAAATGATATCACTCAGATAGCCGATCGCGCGGGAAAGGCAACCAGCGTTGTCATCCGTAGAGGCCGCCCACTATTTGCCATGGCAAGCATAGTTGCCAAACGTGCGGAAGGCATATATATATATATATATATATATATATATATATATATATATATATATATATATATATATATATATATATATATATATATATATATATATATATATATATATACTATTATATATATATATATATATATATATATATATATATATATATATATACATGTGTTGTGTTGTGTGTGTGTGTGTGTGTGTGTGTGTGTGTGTGTGTGTGTGTGTGTGTGTGTGTGTGTGGTGTTGTATATATATATATATATATTATATATCTATAGTATATATATATATATATATATATATATTATATATATATATATATATATATATAGTATATATATATTATAGTATATATATTATATATATATATNGGGGGGGGCGGAGTGGGAGGTGGAGTGGGGAGGGGGGATTTGGTGCGAGGGTGGAGTTGGGAGAGGGGGGGGAGGGGAGGGGAGGGGGGGGTTGTGGAGGGTGGAGTTGGGAGGGGAGGGTGGGGGAGTGGAGAGTGGTAGGGAGAAGGGGAGGGGGGAGGTGGAGGGGGAGTTTGGGAGGGGGGAGGGAGGGAGGGGGGAGTGGAGGGGAGGAAGGGAGGGTGGAGTGCGGAGGGGGAGGAGGTTGATTGTGGGAGGGGTAGAGGAGAGGGAAGTGGTGGAAGGGGGAGTAGAGTGGGGGGTGATGGTGGGGAAGTGGGGAGCTGGTGGAGGGTGGAGTGGGGAGTATATGGAGGGATGGGTGGCTAGAGAGGGGGAGGGGAGTGGGCTGAATAATGGGAGGTGCTTGTGTATGTGTGTGTCTGTACTTGTGTGGTGTGTGTGCTTGTGTGCGCGTATATGTGTGCTCATGCAAAACCAGGCAACAGAAGGAAAGAACGAAATAAAGCAGGTAAAAAGAAGGAAGAAGAGAAAGAAATAACGGAAACAAACAAGAAAATACGTAGTTAAGGAAGAGATCAAAAAAAATTAAGCCCAGGATAATCAAATACGATAAGCAATAAACAAAGAAAAACAAACAATGAGAAACAACGAAAAAACAAAGAAGAAAAGGGATAAGCAAGTCAAGAAGAATAAAAAGCAATCAGGCGAGAACCAAAACAAACAAAACAATAATGAAATCAAGTTAAAAAAAATTAATCTGGTAAACAAGAAGCAAAAAAAAAGAGTAAACAAGAAGCAAATACAGCACGGAAGCAAGAAACAAACAAAGCAGGTAAAAAGAAGAAGTAAGCAAATAAGGAGCAGAGGAAAACAGGTAAACAAGGAGAGAAATCAAGCAAAGGACAAAAAACAAACAAGAAGTTAAGAAGGGAGGGAAGTAAGAAACAGAACAAAATAAAGAAGAGATGAAACAAACAAACATACAATAAACAATGACAATAAAAAGTAAGAAGCAAAACCAAGCAAAGAAGAATAACAAAAATAATAAACAAACAAATCAAGGAAAATATTCAAGCAAGATGCAGAGAAAAAAACAGGAAACAATATGCAAAGCAACTAGGCAAACGAAGAGATAAAAAATATATAAAAAGTTAATAAACAGAGAAAGAAAGTAAGCAAGAATTAGTGAAAGCAGGAAAACAAAAAAGGGGAAGAAGCAAGAAGCAGAAACAAGAAGCAAACAAAAAGACATGAGGGGAAGGGAGGAGGGAATAGAAGACAAACAAACAAACAAATTACAATAAGCCAACCACCAACCAACCTCCAAACAAGAATACCAATCATATAAACAACCACATAACCAATCAACCAATTTCACAATTAAACAAGTAAGAAATCAATAAACCAACCAACACGCAATCAACCAACAAACTAAACAATCAGTTAAACAACCAAACAACAAACCAGCCAAGGAACCATCCAATCAACAGACGAACCAATCAACAAATCAATTAACCAAATAATCAATGCAACCAATCAACCACTTACCCGGACAGACCAAACAACCAACCAGTGAACCATCGACCCAAACAACCGACAGACCAACCAATCAACCATTTACCCAATCAAGAGTCCAATCAACCACCCACCATCAAGAGCCCAATCAACCACCCATCCCAACCCAACAACCATACCCAATCAAGAGCCCAATCAACCATTTACCCAATCAAGAGCCCAATCAACCATACCAAAGAGCCCAATCCCAATCAAGAGCCCAATCAACCACCATCCAATCAAGAGCCCAATCAACCACCAATCAAGAGCCCAATCACCCAATCAAGAGCCCAATCAAACCCATCAAGAATCCAATCAACCACCCACCCAATCAAGAGTCCAATCAACCACCCACCCAATCAAGAGTCCAATCAACCACCCACCCAATCAAGAGCCCAATCACCCAACAAAACAACCCAAACAAGCAAGCAAGCAAGCAAGCACAGGCTCCCCAGCGCCGCACCTGTTCAAGTTCAGCTCATGAGTTGCTCCGGAGAATTCTCATATCCTCATGTTGTCGAGATCATGAGGTTTACGACCTTCTTGTGGTGGGCTTGGGGAGGGAGAGAGTGTGCGTCTGTTTTATATTTTTTTTCTATTTTTTATATTTTTTTTCTTCTATTTTTTATTTTGTTTCTCTCTCTCTCTCTCTCTCTCTCTCTCTCTCTCTCTCTGTTGTTTTCTTACCTTTTTTTCCTTTCTTTCTTTCTGTTTTATTTTATTTCTTCTTCTTCTTCTTTCTTTCTTTCTTTTTTTCTCTCTGTTGTTTTCTTACCTTTTTTTTCTTTTATATATTTGTTTCTATTTTTTCTCTTGTTTCTTAACTTTTTTCGTTTTTTATATGTTTTTTTTTGTTGTTGTTTTTTTAATGTTTTTTTTTGGGGGGGGAAGGAGGGTGTATTCGATTTATATATTTTTTTCTTTCTCTTTCTCTCTCTCTCTCTCTCTCTCTCTCTCTCTCTCTCTCTCTCTCTCTCTCTCTCTCTCTCTCTCTCTCTCTCTCTCTCTCTCTCTCTCTCTCTCTCTCTCTCTCTCTCTCTCTCTCTCTCTCTCTCTCTCTCTCTGTCTCTCTCTCTCTCTATCTATCTATCTATATCCCTCAGTCTCTCTCTATCTCCCTCTCTCTCTCTCTCTATCTCCCTCTCTCTCTCTCTTTCTTCCTTTCTTTCTATCTATCTCTCTAGCTCTCTTTCTTTCTTTTTTTTCGTTTTTCATGGGGAAGAGGATTACATTTCATTTATACATTTTCTTTCTCTCTATTTTTGTCATATTTTTTTTCGTTTATTTCTTTCTTTCTTTTCCTTTCTTGGAAAAGAAGAACGCATTCGGGTTATTATTTTTCCCTTCCTACTCATTCTCCTTCACTCTCCCTTTTTGCTCTTCTTAATCTTTTCGTTTATTTATTTATTTTTTTCCATTCTGTTCCTCAGGGTTTTTTTTTTTTTTTTTTTTTTTTTTTTTTTTTTTTTTTTTTTTCTCCTCCTATATTTCTTACATTATCTTTTGTGTATTTCTTCTGTTGTTCTCCCAAGGTGTTGATGATGATGTATATATTTTTTTTTTTCTTTTCTATTTCCTTAAGTTGGATGAGGAGTGATGGTGATGATGATGAAGGTGGTGAAGTGGGGGAAGAAGTGATGTTGATTGCTTGATATGTGGAGGTATGGTGATGCGCGTGAATTTAGGAGGAATTATGGTGCTACAGGTGGTGTTATGGTGTTATAAGGGGATTTAGGGTGTTGCAAGTGAACTTAGGGGAAATTATGGTGCTGTAAGTGAATTTAGGGGAAATTATGTTATGTTATTATATATATATAAATTAGGTTTAGTTATGGTGTTGCAGATGAAGGTATGGTGTTGCCCAAACGTTATTTTGTTTTTGTTTTTTCTTTCTTCTTTCTTCATTTCTTCATCTAGGTATTAATTTGTTTATCTCTCTCTCCGTCTCTATGTATCTGTCTCTGTCTAAAGCTTTATCAGTGTATTTAATTATCTACATATTTATCTATCGCTATTGTTTTCTATCTTTATTTGTCCATATCTGCGTGTCTCTCTCTCTATCTATCTATCTGTCTATCTTCTCTCTGTCTGTCTGTCTGTCTGTCTGTCTGTCTCCTCTCTCTCTCTCTCTCTCTCTCGCCCTCCCTCTCTCCCTCCCTCCCTCCCTCCCTCTCTCTCTCCCTCCCTCTCTCCTCTCCCTCTCCCTCCCTCCCTCCCTCCCTCCCTCCCTTCCCTCCCTCCCTCCCTCCTCCTCCCCTCTCCCCCCTCCCTCCCTCCCTCCCTCCCTTTATCTACCTCTATCTCCCTCCCTCCCTCCCCTCCCTCCTCCCTCCCTCCCTCTCCCTCCTCCCTCCCTCTCCCTCCCTCCCTTTATCTACCTCTGTCCCCCTTCATCTACTCCCTCTCCCTCCTATCCTTCTCCCCCCCCCCCCGGTGCCTCTACATAAGGCTACTCTGCTTCATAAAATACAGTGCCAAGATAGTGATTGTGGTGTGATTGTGGTGTCGGCGCTGCGATGGGAGGTTGTGGTGGCGACTGTGGCGTGACAAAGACGTGTAGTGTTGGAACATCTGCTCGGGAACAGGCGCTCCCTCACGCCACTCTCACCTGCCCTTCCTCTTGACCCCCTCCTCTTCCTCTTCTTCTTCTTCCTCTTCTTTTTTCTTTCTTCTTTTCTTCTTCTTTTTCTTCCTCTTTCTTTTTCTTCTTTTTCTTCTTCTCCTCCTCATCCTCCTCCTTTTCTTCTTCCTCTTCTTCTCCTCCTCATCCTCCTCCTTTTCTTCTTCTCCTCCTCCTCCTTCTTCTCCTCTTTCTTTCCTTCTCCTCCTCCCTCTCCTCCTCCTCCTCTTCCTCTTCTCTTGTTTTCTTCTTCCTTTCTTCTTCTTCTTCTTCTCGTCCTCCTCCTCCTCTTCTTCTTCTTCTCTCTCCTTCTTCTTCTTCTTCTTCTTCTTCTCCATCTCTCCTCCTCCTCCTCCTCCTTCCTCTCCTTCTCCTCTTCCTCTCCTCCTCCTCTCCTCCTCCCCTCCTCTCCCTCCTCCTCCTCTCCTCCTCCTCCTCCTCCTCCACCTCCTCCTCCTTCCTCTTCCCCCTCCTTCTCCCGTCCCTTCACCCTGGGTTATCTGATTCCCCCTTCCCTTCTCCCCTCTTTCCTCTCCATCCATCCTCATCCCCCTGCCTTCCCCTCCCCTGCTCTGCCTTGCTCTCTCCACTCACCTTCCTGAGTTGCTGTTTGTGTAATTTCTTTTTTTTTTTTCTTTCTTTCTTTCTTTCTTTCTTTCCTTTCTTTCTTCTTTTTCTTGAGATTCTCACTTTTCTGTCTGTTTGTCTGCTTGATTGTCTGCCGGCCTCTCTCTCTCTCTTTCTCTATCATATATATACATGTATATATAAATATATATAGATATATGTGTGTGTGTGTGTGTGTGTGTTGTGCGTGTCTATATATATATATATATATATATATATATATATATATATATATATATATATATATATATATATATATATATATATATATATATATATATATATATATATATCCAACTTCCCTCTCTCTCTCCCCCATCCCTCCCTTCCTCACTCCCTCACCCTCCTTTCTCCCTCCCCTTCCTCCCTCATCCTCCCTCCCTCCCTCTCTCTCTCCCTCTTCTTCCCTTCCTCCTTCCCTTACCCTACTTCCCTCTCTCTCTCCCTCTCATCCTCCCTCCCTCCCTCGCTCATCCCCCTTCTTCCGTCACCCTTCCTCTCTTCTCCCTCACCCTCCTTCCCTCTCTATCTCCCCATCCTTCCTCCTTCCTCGCTCACCCTCCTTCGCTCTCTCTCTCCCCCATCATCCCTCCCTCCCTCCCTCACCCTCCTTCCCTCTCTCTCTCTCTCATCATTTTCCCTCCCTTCTTCACCCTCCCTCCCTCTCTCTCTCCCTCATCCTCCCTTCCTTTCTCCCATCACCCTCCTTCCTTCTCTCTCTCTCTCATCCTCCCTCTCTCCCTCCCTCACCTTCCTTCCCTCTCTCTCTTCCCTCATCCTCCCTTTCCTCCCTTGTCACCCTCCCTCCCTCTCTCTCTCCCCTATCCTCCCTCCTCCCTCCCTCACCCACCTCTTTCCCTCATTCTCCTCTCTTCTCCCTTCACCCTCCTTCCCTCTCTTTTCCATCATCCTCCCTTCCTCCCTCCCTCACCCTACTTCCCTCTCTCTCTCCCTCATCCTCCCTCCCTCCCTCGCTCACCCACCTCTCTCCCTCATTCTTCCTCTCTTTCCCCCATCCTCCCTT